CTTATCTGGTTTTCCCATTCAATGTTTGCTCTCTTACAGTCCATTCTCAACAAAGCAGTCAAATGATCCCTTTAAAACTGTTTGTATCCTTTAGTGATTACCCATTTCTACCATGGCCCACAGGCCCAACAATTTTATATTGCTGGCATTTAACTCTTGAGGGAAAAAATATTGTCTTTATTGTTCACTAAAGTATTCCAAGTACCTAAAAATAACTGACAACATACTAGGTACTCAATACATATTTGGATTAAATGAATGAATCTTGGTTATTGATTCATCATTTATTTTTCCATTGTTGGAATGTAAGGTATACATGATGGAAGGGTCCTTATTGGTATTGTTTAATGTTGTATAAACAAAGCACTCAGAACTGCACCTGGTATAGAGTAAATGCTTGACAAATTCTTGAGGAAGAAATCAGTGAGTATCTACTATGAAAAGATTATTGTATCTGCTTATACTGAAATAAGTTAATGAATACATTATTCATACGGGTTGTATAGTTTCCATTCATTGTACATAGGCAGCTACCTATGGTGAATGAAGAGTGTTATACAATAAAGCAAAGAATAAACTGTTAATATAAATGGAACTTCAAGGAAAGCAGTATGTAGGGTTATGGTTGCCCCAAAGTTACAATCATGTAGCGAACTGGAACATATTCAGTATGTATCACATTCTTTCTGCAGTTTGCCCTGCCTATACAAACTCTCTGCTTAACTTCCTCAGGAAAAAGAAAGCCATTGCTTTTCTGGTTATTTGCAAAACTGCTTACCCCAGGGGCTTTTTTTTTTGTTTGTTTGTTTACAAAAAATGAAAAAAGTCATTTCCGTGTATAAGAGCACTTTGTATTCTTGAAGGAGAGATTCACACTGCCAATCACTTACATAATCTATTTTGTTTTTCATTTGTATTGAAGGGCATTCATACCTCTATATTACTGTGTGCAAATCTAGGGAATCTAAAACTATTCTCTGTGATCGTTTGGATTGTTAATCTCTCCAGGGTTTCCTCAACAATCTCAGAGGCAGTTTCTGGCACCAAAGGGAAAATGGAGAAGTTGAGATGCAATTTTGTCTCCCAATTGAACTTGATTAAATGGGGACTGTTCTAATCAAAAGTTTGAATCCCAGGGGTGTGCAATGTTGTTAACGGGTTTGAGAATATTTGAGGAGAACTGGGAGGAAGAGTGCTAACGTTACGGCAGAGAGAGAGAATCAGGCAAGAAAATAATTGTAGTAAAGCTTATTAAGGCATAAAATTAGGTGAACAAATTGCTTCACAGATAGTGTTAAGCTCATTGCTAGACTGGCAAAGGAAGTGGAAGGAAGCTCTTTGAAAACATTATTTTTATTATTTTAATAATTTGTGTAGGAATCGTAGTAGCTGCAATCTGTTAGCCAGAAACAATTGCCAGCTGGTGTCATCGTGGAGTAACTGTAGTAGGCTGAATGCAAATATGTTTTTCCTTTTCACCTGGAGAGCATTCAATTTTAGAAAATTTCTATTTATTTTCACCTGAATGTGAGGTCTGCCATTGTAGATAAGAAAGCCTGCTTATTGCATGATTTAAGAGCTCTGATTAGTTTCACACCAAGTTCCACAACTGTGATAGGGAGGCCACTCCTGGGACAGTGTTCACACCACCAACATTACCCATCATTAAAAACAAATACTTGGTTCCATGCCTGAATTAACTGTGTCATTGCTTGATTCTATGCATTGTTTTCCTTGTAGTTACCCTGGGTAAATGTTGGTGCCTCCTTGGGTATTTTACTGAAAGCAAAAAGAAATCTTCTAGGGTAGTGTTTTTTAAAGAGGGTTAAAGGTACACTTATTTATGGAAACATATTTTGTTAGCAACATAGCAGTTACATTTGTTTGTTATAATGCTTTCTTCTGAAATTCTCCTAAATAATTTCTTTTAGCAATGATATAATCCTGTTAAATTGTACTGTCTTTCTCTTTTATATGAGAACTCTCTGACTAGGTCCAAAATACTTTAGGGTGTGGGGATTGTTCAGCTTTTCCTTAAAGCTGTGGTCAGCAAACTGCGGCTCGCGAGCCACATGTGGCTCTTTGGCCCCTTGAGTGTGGCTCTTCCACAAAATATCATGGCCTGGGTGAGTCTATTTTGAAGAAGTGGCGTTAGAAGAAGTTTAAGTTTGAAAAATTTGGCTCTCAAAGGAAATTTCAATCATTGTATTGTTGATATTTGGCTCTGTTGACTAATAGTTTGCCAACCAGTGCCTTAAAGCCTGAGGGAGAGGCAAAATAATTCAATTGTTCTATTGCAATTCCTTTGCCTCTTCCTGTCTCTTGACTCAAAAGATCTTGAGAGGGAGAGAGGAAACTTTGGGCTCTGTTGTTGATGTTCATTGGATTTTTTCAAAGGTGATTTGAATGTATAATATTTCAGGGATATTAGTGGTTTCTAGTCCTGGCTCTGCTTTCACCTAGTTTTCCTTGGTTCAGTTTCATAGTCTCTGAAATGGGATATTATGCTCCTCTGATCTCCTTAGAGTGTTGTTCTGAGGAGCAGATGAGATAATGGCTAGGAGAGTGCTTTCCACTATACAAATTGCCACCCACACTCAGGTTATACATTTGTGTAGCTAACAAGGTTATATCTATCCATGTGATAGCAAGTGATTTTATTAAAAAAATGAGGAACTTCTCAAATAAAGAATATGAAAATGTGATACATTTTACTTTGCTAAAGCAAATGTATGTATTTCAAAATAAGGACACCGTTAACTAGATGAATTCAGGGAATAATTGTTGGGTTTTATCGGGGTTTGGTTCTATTTCAATTTCTTGCTTGGAAGAGTAGTGGGGTGCCATTAAAAGGATTTTAAACTTTACATGAAAGGGAAAGAATCTACTAAGCTTTAAAGAAGCAGATTCATCTCACCTCATACCTTTCTTACTAATACAGGTCATACAGTATCAGGAAGGGCACTGTTTGCGACTGTTTATAGAGTTGAAAAGAGGAAAGGAAGCAGAGGAGGGAAGCTTTGTTAAGGTGAACCCCCACCTGCCTAGAAAATGAAAAATAACCTCCTATGGGCAAGCCTTAGTATCCCTGAAACAGATCTGGATCTTAAGTGATGGTTGCCAAGGGGACAGCCTAACAAATGAAAGAGATCAGCACAGTGTCTCAGGAAGAGACAGGCACCTCATAGATCTGTAAGGAGGCCAGGTGGGAAAGTTGGCTGACATGAAGGTATGGATCGCCAGATGTGGTTGACTGGGACTGGCAGGGTAGCCAGGAGGGACATGATAGTATGGGCCAGGGGATAAAACTGCATCATCTTGGTCTTCAATACACTGACACTCTCCACCGGATTCAAACAAGACCAGGAATTTATTCCAATTGATGGTACACACATCCATTATCTGAAATACAGAAAATGTTATGATATAAAGATTTGGTTCTCAGGTAAAGGCAAAATTTAGATTTTTGAAAAAAAAATAAAGTTTTAAAAATTTTATTTATGTTAAGAAATACAGGTAAGTGCAGGTCTTATTGTGGACATTGGGGGGAAGGGGTGAGTCTTGCATATTTAGTACCTCAACGTATATTAGTAGGATGAATTTTAGCAGGTGACTCCTAAGTGCCTCTTACTCTGTATGCACTGCCTGGTTGTGGGAAGGGCTGTCTGGACTGGAAGAAATGAACCGAGGGTTGAAAACAGAGCCTGACTGATTCACCTTAGACGCCCAATGGACAATGGCGACTCAACATGACTGGCTGCTGGTTGAATAAAGTTGTAGAGTTGGACACACCAAGTTTGTAGTTAAGGAAGGAGAGGGGGGAAAAATTGAGCATCCATTAGAATGTTTTGGGTAGAAATTCAAAGCTGTCTGGAGGCAATTTCCTCTGCTGACCAGGGACCAGCCTACTCTTGTGAAGTCCCTTTTAGGAGAATCCACCCAGCATGGTGTGCAGGTGTTATTCTGGTCCATAGGCCGGCCAGGTTTCGCTCCTGATTCAGATCAAGAAGAGCAGCCACGCTCTCCTCCTCTGGGGGGCCTCTCCTGGCTCCGCCTTTGCCTTTTCTCCCAAACCTCTCCTCCCTGGGGGCACAAGGGATTCCCGGCGCCAGCTGCCACCGCGAGCCCCGCGGAGCGGCGGGCTCCTCCCCTGGAAACTCCTCCAGGGCCGGGGGCGCTGCGGCGCATGCTCCGTACCTTGGGCAGGTTTGTGCTGCGGGAGCGGGGCGCCCGTCACTCCGGCGGGCGGGCTGTGGCGGTGCCAGCCGGTGCGTGCCAGTGTGCCTGCGTGCCCGCGCCCGGGGCGGACCGACCCGGAGCAGCGGTGCCACCCTCCCGGGAGAAGCGTGCTCTGCGCGGGGCGCCTCGCCCGCAGCCGCGGCGGGGGCTCCCCTCCTGCAAACTTGCGGCTCCCGCGCCTGGCGATCGGAGCGCAGAGGGTGCGGAGCGCGGTGCCCGCGGCGGCCGGCCGTGGCGGCGGGGCCCGGCCGCGCCTTCGCCTTCGCCCTTGGCCGCCCGCGCGCCCCGGCGAGCCACATGCAGCCCCCGCGCTCGCGGCCGCCGCTGCCCGGCTGCCCGGCTGCTGCCCGGGGCAGGTCCGGGACCGGAGCCGCTCTCCCCAGCGCCTGAGCGCCCGCGTGTGCCCGAGCGCGGGCGGCGGGGTGCCCCGAGGCGCCTGAGATCGCGCCCCGCGCCCCGGCAGCAGCCAGAAGCGGGCCGAGCCCGGCGCTCCCGGGAGCGCAGGGCGTCCCGCGCCGCCGCCAACACCGCACTCGCCGGCGCCCGGCAGCCCGCTCGGTCCGAAGGCCCGGCTCCGTCCGTCTCGAGTGCCGGGGTGCCGCCGCGGGGCCGCCCGGCAGCCGCTCGCCCGGGCGTCGGGGGGCATGGAGGAGCGGCGGGCTCGGAGCCGCGCCCCGGAGTCCCCGAAACTTCCGAGCGGACGCGGGTCCGCGCCGCCGCCGCCGCCGCCGCCGCTGAGCCTGCCGGCCTGAGACGGGACCATGGATGAAAGGTTCAACAAGTGGCTGCTGACGCCCGTGCTCACCCTCCTCTTCGTGGTCATCATGTACCAGTACGTGTCCCCCTCCTGCACCAGCTCCTGCGCCAACTTCGGGGAGCAGCCCCGCGCCGCCGGGGGGCCCGCCGGCCCGCCCTCCGCCCCGGGTCCCGCCCGCCGAGCGCAGGTGCCGCCCGAGGACGGGGAGCGGCGGCCCCAGCTGCCCCCGCCGCCCCGGGGGCCGCCCGAGGGGCTTCGGGGCGCCGTGGTGGCGCCCCCCGAGGACGACGACGACGACGATGAGCCGGGGGACCAAGAGGAGGAGGAGGGAGAAGAGGAGGAGGAGGAGGGCGAGGAGGAAGAGGAACCGGACCCCGAGGCCCCAGACCACGGCGGCGGCGGCTCGCTGCCCAGGTTCGTGCCGCGCTTCAACTTCACCCTGAAGGACCTGACCCGCTTCGTGGACTTCAACATCAAAGGGCGCGACGTGATCGTGTTCCTGCACATCCAGAAGACCGGCGGCACCACGTTCGGCCGGCACCTGGTGAAGAACATCCGGCTGGAGCAGCCTTGCAGCTGCAAGGCCGGCCAGAAGAAGTGCACCTGCCACCGGCCCGGCAAGAAGGAGACCTGGCTCTTCTCCCGCTTCTCCACCGGCTGGAGCTGCGGGCTGCACGCCGACTGGACGGAGCTCACCAACTGCGTGCCGGCCATCATGGAGAAGAAAGACTTTCCCCGCAACCACAGCCACACCAGGTACCGTGCCCTGCCCCGTCCGGGCTTCCTGCCACCTCCCCACCTCTCTCTCTCTCTCTCTCTCTCTCTCTCTCTCTCTCTCTCTCTCTCTCTCTCTCTCTCTCTCTCTCTCTCTCTCTCTCCTCCCCCAATCCCGACCTCTGGCCGCCGCTGTCTGGGCGGGCTGGGCTGGTAGTTTCCCCAGCGGCTCTCAGCGGTGGGGACAGAGGCTTTGGGATGGGGATGAAAAACCTCTGGATGGTTCCTTGGTCTTGAAGTCACCCCCCCCCCCCCCCGCTACCTCCTCCCTCCGCCTTCACCCTCTTTGCTTCCCTCTCCCTCTTTCACCCTCAAATGTGTCCCATGCCTTTTGTGTGTCTCCTTCCTAGTGCCTAGCATGGTGTGGGGGCCTTCTTAGCAATGCTTGGAAAATCTTGGTATGGCCAGGAGGCCTGAGTTAGATCAACGAGGTAGAATCCTGTACTTAACTTTTGTGAGTGGAAACCCAAACCCAGTAAAAGACAGAGGAGTCGGGGGTATAGAGGCAGGGCAGTTTTCCAGGCACGGTGAGGCTGAAGATGAGTCTAATTCCTCTATAAGTGGCTCTCAGGTGGCTGCTGGCCAGCTCAGGAAACAATCCTCTTGATGACACTTTGAAGATAACATGTTCACGGTCCTGCTCCTACCTTGATAACGCTAATTCTGGAAATGGTTTTTTGTTGCTGAGCAATGCCAGGATTTTGGATGCTGTTCTCAGCAAGATTTCCACTTTCCCCCAGGCTAATCCATCAACTCATTCAAAAAGTATTTGTTAAATGACTACCTTGTGCCTGGCAATGTGCTACATGCTAAGTGGATACAAATAGATAGTAAGTAAAATCCCTTCCTTTCAGGATAGATTGGCCTATCCTCCTTTAAATAGCGATTCTGCTGAGAATTAGGAAAGTTTGACATCGTAATAGCCAATGAAACTGCTTACATTATTAACATCCTTTGAGAGAGGCATGGGTTTAAGAATTTGGTTGAATGTTCTTTCTGCCCATTGCAATTTGAAGATTAATCTGACATGCTTGCTCAAGGGACTGAAATATTAAAAGCTTGGAACACTAGTTTATTGAAGTTTTTATCTCAAAGGTTTCAAACAATTTGGTGTAAGGAAATAGGAATTTAAAAACTCAAGCCCAATATGTTGATATCAGATAGCTTTTGCATTTGACATTATGGAAAAGCTTCATTTACTGGCAGCTGCCCAGATTCTAGAATTTACCACCACTGAAGCATCTAATTCTACTTCATTTCTCCAAGAATGAGCAAAATTTCATTATGGGATTTTTTACTCTGGCAGTTTTTCAAATGCTTTCTCTCCTCCCTGCTCCTTTCTCTGTTTAATGGAAATTGGTGAGAATAAAAAATAGTTAGACCTGAAATGAAGGCATTAGACTTCCTTAGTATATTTTATGGGTATTTTACTTTTAAATATTTCTCATTGTGTAGTATTTTAGATCCTGCTCCTCTATTTTAGTTTAAGACAATCTTCCAATTAATTATTACTTCTATACTTCCTAATAAACAAAACTATCATTTCAGTGAGAGGGATTCTCTGCTGCGTTTTACCCAAAGTTGTACTTTTTGGACTTAGACCTTTATATATTAATTCCCGAATGACCCCAAAGAGTTTGATAGTCTGATTCCCAGCTTCTATTCCACTCAAACTAGAGACTTTGATTATCACATAGAAATGTCTAATGGCCCTTCAGTAGGTATCAGCATTGTTTTGTACTGATGTATATAAGTCGTAGTGGATAGGTTTAAGATTTTGGAGGAATTAGAAATTACGGAATCTAAAAATAATGGGATTTTTGCTTAATGGTGGAATGATGCTGCTGCTGAAGACCCAGCATAGAGTATAGCAGGAAGGTCTCACTTCTAAAGGAAATGCTCAACACCTCTCTCCTCTGTGATGTAGGAAAATTCCACCTTGACTATTTGAACTCGTGGGTTCTAATGCACAGTCCAATGCTTTTCTTTGTTTAGCAATGGGCCACAAACATTCATTTCTTCCCGATTCTCAAGTTACCAGATAATCACCCTGCACTGATTCACTTATTTTTTAATTCTAATTTTTGTGTATATATTTTTTTGGGGGTTAGCACTTCTTATAACCCTTCTTCTTTTTCTTTCTCTTCCTTTTCTGGTACTCTAAATTACTTTTCGTCTCTAGATGCTGTAGGAAGGAATATGTGAGGTGCCTTGCATCAAAAGCTATGGAGAAAAAAAATTGAAGAGATGTTCAGTAGCATCTTCCTCACACAGAAGATTGAATTAGTTGTCTGTCATTGGAATGTCTGTGTACGACATTCTACACTCAACTAGATTAGCCTGGATAATGGAGGGTACATTCCCACAATGCAAAATGGCAGATAATCTATTGCTACATAATGGGAACAAGGTTCTTCTTCAAATAGAGCTGACTCAAAGCCAAATCGAGAAGTATAGCATGATGATTTTTGTTTCCTAGTCTCTTTTGCTTTTGGTACCCCTTTTGGGCACCCCATTCCCAATTTCTCATAGGGATCAGTGCTTTTGTGAGTCACGTAATTGGCCAGATCAAGGATTCTGGGTACAGATGGTTATGGCTCCTGTGGTTACTAGTTATACAACCAGAAATAACTTATTATTTCTGAGCCACAGATTCTTGATCTTTAAACAGAGATAGCTATTAGTACTTCTATCACAGAGGTGTTACGAAAACTAAGTGAGAAAATGCATTCTAAGTGCTTAACTTATATTCATAGTATAATATGCTGGTATAAAGTTCTTAATATGCAAGTATAGCTGAAACCGTTTTTGGCTCAGTGGATTGAGCATTGGTCTGCGGACTGAAAGGTCCCAGGTTCGATTCCGGTGAAGGGCATGTACATTGGTTGTGGGCACATTCCCGGTAGGGGGAGTGCAGAAGGCAGCTGATCGATGTCTCTCTCATTGATGTTTCTAACTCTCTGTCCCTCTCTCTTCCTCTCTGTAAAAGATCAATAAAATGTATTAAAAATATGCAAGTATATAGTAATACTTAGACATTAGTTGTAACTATAATAAGAATACTTTCCCTAGAAGAATATGAGGTCAGTTCCTTAGAGCTGCTTAGTGTAAATGGTGCTCAGTAATTTATAGAGATGCCATTTTATGACTGTTTTTATTGAGGCAGAATCCTAAGTTCAAAACACCAGAAATAAATGGAAAATTATGGACATTGGGCATCAGCCATTGCAGGGAACAAGATGGGAAACAATATAATTGAGTTGGTGACACAAAACATGTCTGAAATGGTGAGAGGAAGTGAGAGGTGGGAAGCCAACTCTAAAAGGAGATGCATCAGGCCTAGGAAGGAGAAAGGCTCGGCTGGTAGTTTGGATTCAGCACCAAGAACATTTCTGACCATCAAAATTGGTTAGAACAAGATCAGAAACTAATAGAAAGATGGCATACCTGAAGACCTCTTTTATCATATTACTGATGATTGCTTCCCATTATATTCTTTGCTTTTTTTCTCTCCAGTTACATATTTCTTTGTTAAGGTATGTTTTCCCCCTAAGCATACCTAGGTCTTTTGAAGACTTTTCTTTAGCATTGTTGAGTATGTATAGAATCATAACATTTTATGGCTAAAAAAGACTGGAGAGATATTCTTGACCTACTATTTATATGGCGAGTTGGTAATCTAATCTTAAGGATGTGAAATGATGTCCCCCCCCCCCCCCAGGACACTCATGTCTTCATGTTAGTAACTTATATCCAATGTTTTGCCTACTGTTTACTATGAAAAGTATAGTGGAGAGTGTCTTATCCACCTACTATGTGCCAGGTACTCTGAAGTTCTAGGAATACAGTTTTGGACAATGTCAGCCCTTTGAGCTTAGGTTCTTAAGGAAAATAGACCTTAATCTTCTTTGGTAAGTGAATAATGCTGGAAAGAGATTCCATCCAAACCTTTTGTAGGGTGGAATGGCAATTTTTCTCTCTTATGACCTGCATCCTGTTGGTCCTATTAGAGTAGTTGAACCGTATGAATATTGTATTAAACAGGCCCCTCTGTGCTGCAAATGGTACAACTCTAACGCAAACTTGGTTCAGTCAGGGGGAATTATTGATTTAAACCAGGCAATAGGAAAGATAGGGGTAGAGTTCAAGAATGACTGGAACTAGAGATTTGAAGTTTTTCTCCCCACATTCTTTGCATATGGACCTCATTCTGTCAATTGGCTTATTCTACGAAATGGGTAAATGGCTGTCATATCTAATACCTCCACAAGCTGAGAGGGAAGCAGGTCTTGACTGAGTTTTAGCTTGCAATATTGGGGAATGACTTTTTATAGTCCAGGTTGGAACTTGTGACTATTCATTTGAAGCAAATCAATTGGCCAGGGAGATAAGGTTGACCTTGTATCACAGATCCACTCCATGACTAATGTAGGTGAGAGTATGTGTGTGTCTTTGTGTGTGAGTATGATCACAAGAATAGCATAGACATGGCTCCTGAGTAAACCATTGTGTTCTTAACTTATAGACAGTACTGCCAATTGTGTCAATTATAGGTGTAAATAAATGAAACTTCAGTTTTCTTCTTTGCATTTTATATTCTGTTTAGGACACATTAAAAAGAGAAAGAGATAGAGAGATTTTATATTCTATTTAGGAAACACTAAAAAGAGAAAGAGAGATAGAGATAGATAGATAGAGAATTTGGTATATGGGATGATGCTTCTACCAACTGAACCACACTGGCCAGAGCCTACAGAAAAAATTTTTAAGTCAAGCTACAGCTCTTATTTATCTGTAGCATCTGGGAACCATGCCATATGAAAAATAATAGAAAGAGCTGATAATATTTAATAAGGAGATGGAAAAAACAAAGAGACATAAAAGTTGTCATTAAATGCTCAATGGAGGAAGATGTGGAAGATGGAGACTTGTTTAATATTTCTCCAAAGGACAGAACTAGCATAATTGAGATCGTTGTGATA